GCTGATCGCCTACAGGCTACCGAGGCAACTCGCCCACCGAAGAAACCATAAGCCGACAATGACTATCATGGAAAATTCGTACGGCTCTTCCCAACAGCCACGCGCCACGTGCTCGCGCCCTGGAGCACATCGCCCGGAGCCTGGGAGCCTGCGCTGGCTCTGGTTCGTGGAGGAGCACCGCGTCCCTAATGCGGAGATTCGCCGGTAAGAGGCCGAGACATAACCCTGCCTGGCGCACCTTACACAGATTGCAACTTGAATTGGGCCCACTCAACCCTGAACCGTATTTCAGACTGGAGTAGCGCGGCAACTCTTTAAACAAGAGGGATCATATCGATAAGTGATTGTGGTGAATAGCAAAAAACCTCGTGAAGGCAGATACGATCCCAGTACCGGTAATACAGGAAGCGCCGTACTAGACCGCTTCCAGAGCAGTTGATCTAGGTATCGCCCGCCGAGCATCTCAGATTTCTCCTTCATGGAAGCGAGTCAGAAGTTCAGAAATATTTGGGCGGCACAAACTGGGCGTGATGGAGCGGTGGTTTTGAACAAAATTTGGGTCCAAATGGAGGGTCATTCAGTGAATGATACTGGCGGATGTCCTCCTTATTTCCACATTTGATGAATGATTTTACGCCCCATGATCATTTATTTCACTGCTTCGGAGTGGTTAATACAATATACTCATTTGAAATGATTTGGAAGGTTATTCGGTGATTTTCGATAATTTTGTCCTTCTTGCACCTTTTTCTGTGCTTTCTGTTCACTGGGCCCTCTTTGCAAAGCCATACCTTAAGCTCTATCTGACCATAAATGATTTTCATTCATCACGTGATTGTCGCGATCTTCGCCACACTATATCACTCACTCGAACACAGGTTCCGCGATAATCGGATGGGCGGAGAAAGAGGCTCATAATGAGTGTGTATTTTTCGTTGGCGTCTTCCTATTTTTATCCTCGCTGGCATGGTTCTCCTCTTTAGTGTCTTTGAAGTATTGGCTCATCAGTGAGGAAGCCACAGTTGTTATGAGTCGCGACCTCTTTCTCCGTCCATCGATGACGATTATGAGGCTGTGCTATAATATGCTATATGTTATTAATCCGCCCATTCGATTATCGTGGAATCTTTCTTTAAGAGGTACGCTGTGTCCTGACCAATGCATGATTATGGTTGTTGCTGAATTAAATTGTGATTTCGTTGTCTACAAATGAACGCACTCGATGAGCAGATTAGAAACGGCACCGCTATCACTGTGTTAGTGACTGGTTCTCCTCTCATGTGGGCGTTTCGGACGCTGTCGTTCTGTTGTAGGCGTACTGGACGGGACGCCGAGCAATTTGGGAGGTGGAAAAGTGCTGGGGAGGGAGTGGGGTCGGTGGAGGGACGAGCACTGCATATGCCTCCGATAAGACCCTTCCCAAGGCTTGGGCTCCGAAAAACATGCTCCCGTAGAGACTGTCTGCTCCAAGAAAGTAGCCCACAAACGGCGACGCTGATCGTTTGGGCTCCATGCCTTGGTTCGGGAAGGGACACATAAGATATGTGACGCTCCCCCTCTCCCCCCCCCCCCTCAGAACGTTAGCACCGCGTTCAGTGCTAACCATAAGTACCTTACTTGACGCAAACTAACAAGTACAGCAGATGAACTAGTAGTCTTAAGTAAGCCATTTCTCGTTGCGAATCAGGACGGGTCCTTATTTGATCAGGAAAAGCTACTGGTTTTCATGTTGAGGAGTTCCTTTAGTAAAAAGCTATTAAAATAGGTTGAAATTTCATTTCAGATCGGAGAACCGGGATCTCCCGGTCTACCAGGCACGAAAGGAGAAAAAGGAGCAGAGGGTTTGCCAGGCGTCAATGGTCAACCAGGACCACCGGGATGGCCAGGAATAAAGGGCGATGATGGCCTCAACCGGCACGTCCAGCTGAGCGAGTCCTCTTTCCTGCATGGGTGATTATTATATCGCTCTGGAACGTTTTCTCATGAAATTCAGAATTTCTCCCGTGAATTTGACTTTTCAGGATCTCCGGGTTTCCCAGGCAAGAAGGGTGAACCAGGTCAACCTGGAGTGCCTGGTAACCCGGGAATGATTGGAGAACGAGGATTAGCTGGAGCCCCTGGACCACAGAGATGGGACCGTGGACAATTGACCACCGGGACAAATAGGTCTTCCTGGTCTCCGAGCGACACGAGTGTGTTGTCTGGATGATACTTATAGCTCTAGATTGAAGATACTCGCTACAGCAAAATTATTCCCATATTCAGGGAACCCCCGGTCTACCAGGACAAAAAGGTGAAACCGGAAAGGACGGTCTTCCCGGTTTACCTGGTGAGTTTAGTCTTGGCTTGAAGTTTTATGTACATATTGCAATGAGCAAGTGCTCTCAGGGTTTGGCTCATACCGTGACACGATAAAGCGATACTGTATTCTGGCCTTGAGGAAATTGGTCCCGCCGTCTTTTCACCCAAAGGGAGGGAGCATATCAGCGTTAGGTCAATTCCGCCGCCGAAATCAATCTTCTGCCATAGTTTTCAGTAAGACGATAATACTGGAAATAAACTTGAGGCATACTGAAACGTTTACCGATCGCAGAATTTCCTGTTTCAGGCTCATGTCGATAATTATCGATTTGGCGACTATTCGTTGGTCAAATCGGCCGGCGTAGGTGGTAACGAGGAGCAGTTTGCATTGAAAGTTCATGCATGCTGTCGATAAATATTTTTGTTTCTAAACTTTATTCAAAAGCTACTGGTGACTTCTTTTTTAAGAGACTTTTATTGATGACGTTCTCGGCATGTGCTCTTTCATCAACTGAAACTGAGGCGTAACACAAAACGTGGTGGCCTTTCGGCGGCCGGGGGGGGGGGCATTTTGCACTTTTGCTACTTCCCATCGACGTGTCGACCCATCTAGATAGCCTTTTCTTGAGTTGACAGGTTTTACCATGGTGGCTCGACGAGCTTGCTCCAGCTTCACAAGAGTTCACAGGTTTCACCAGAGACTCGTAAACCGGAACCAGTGAAGCAACGAAAGTGCAAAATGCCCCCCCCTTTGTCGCCAAACTGCACCCAACACATGCAACATTGTTAATAATAGCACAATTGCATAACACCGATCTCGTCCAGCAATCGAGACTGAATGGAAAAAAACGAGGAACTAGTTGGGAAAGGAGGGCTGGGAGGATTCTGGATGTGCAGCGAAAAAGGATCAACAATTTTGTCCTGATCTAGCACACCCCGCTAGATGGTGGCCTATACTTCTGCATAATCACAGGGACACCCCAAACACAAAAAGTGTCTAAAATGGGTAAGACAAGTTGAGAAAAAACTAAAAAAGAAGAGAGAAAACGGAGAAATCTTGAAATTTCCCTAAGATGCGGGAGTTGGGTGCGGAATTTGTATGATGGTGCACCTGGTGCAATTGC